TGCTGATGGGCTAGTCTGCCTGTTACTGAAATTGCCTGCCTCAGGGCTATGGGTGTATCCCAAACCAATAAAAGATTGGCGAGGCCTGAGCACCAGTGGAAGTCCTTCCCCTTGAGTTGGACTTGCCTGCCTGGCCCCCCAATATTTCCAAATTATCTCTTGTTTTGTATCTTTCATTTGTGTGCGGCCCCTCTTCCAGATCCTGAACCCTGAACCACGAGGGACGTGGGGGGGAAAACAAAAATATACAAATTTACACACCAGTATATCATATTTATTAAGTATTTTAATAGCTATCTAATGGGATTGAATCATAGAGTAATTCCAAATATTGTTTTGATACTAATAACAATTTTCTCAGTCCTTAAAACACTAACATATCCATATATCCAACTGCTTAGGTAATGTAAATAGCATACTTTGTGAACATTAAGATTATGAAATTAACTACTGTCACAAATTCCTTAAAAATTCATAGCAAGTAATATTCAAAATTGGTTACAGAACTGAATGACATCTCAAACAGAAAAACGATTATTTCTACTTCACTGTCACCGAGCCCTATGTATATAACTAACACTGAGAAAAATTTTTTTCATTCCGTTTAAGTAGGAAAATGCCCTGCAGCATGCAGAAGAGCTGGCCCATCATTCCAGATCTCTAAATAGCTTCCTCTTCCCATTAGTTAAAGAGGACTGACACCATGTCACAAGCTCTTACAGAGATTCTTTGATTCAAGGAGCTACTCAATGAAATCCCGATTCATCTCTGAATATAGTGAATCCCAAGTCAGTGAAAAGACTCCAAAATTATAAGGCAGTCAGTAAACTGGCATGAAAAAATCAACTGTTTACTTTCAGATTCTAGGTCCAAAATGGCAAATCTAGTCACTAAATTAATCAATATCCTTACTCTTAATTAACACTTTACATGAAAATAAAAGTCTACCATAAGGCTCCTGTAACAAAACTCTATGCCACATGTGAAAGCAGAAATACAAGAGTGGCAGGGCAAAAATGTAATTATCTATAATAATAAAAGCGTAATATACTTCCGGATGACCTTCCAGACGAAGCCGGAGCTTTGAGGGAAGCCCGGGTCCCGGGTGCCTCCTAGCGGCCGGAGCAAAGCCCGGGTGCCGGCCGGTGGCTGGAAGGAAGCCGGAGTCCCGGGTGCTTGCCAGCAGCCAGAGGGAAGCTGGTGCTGGCGCCGGGGAAGGAAGGCCTACTCTTGCACGAATTTCGTGCATCGGGCCTCTAGTAAGTATATAAACAGATTTCCACTTCTGGCCAAGATGGAATAACTGGAACCAAATTTACCTTCCTGCCTGAAACAACTGCAGGGAAAAAGAAAAAGACAAAATACAGAAAGCATTTTTTCAAGACAATGAACATTAGGCCACAAAAGACAGTACATTTCCGATAGATGGGAAACACACAAGATGACTAACAATTGCCCTAGCTTACTTCACTGCCTTGAAAGAACTTCTAGGCCACAGAACAGGGAGGGGGAACCCAAGCAGAGCACAGTGGTCTCCCTGAGTTGAGGAGACATAATTTAGTCTGGAGATAACAAGGTGACGATCATATACAAGGCAGAGTAGTTAAGAGAGAGCTGCACAAATCTGCAGAGGGACCTCTCAAGTTTTCAGCTGAGTACTTATCAGTACGTATTTGAGTGAACTACCCACGGACAGTGAAAGAACCAGCAACAAGGATTAGAAGGAACACCACCTAGAGCTCACACAAGTCCAGGAATACTTCTTGTTCCCACAAGCTAGAGGACTATGCAGGGTTTTGCCTCAATAGTACAACAGTGGTACTGCCTAACACAACTTAAAAGCAAGATCTGAAAAGATCAAACTGTTTCCAAGTTAACTGCATCCCAGAACAAAGCTCAAGAATATTTAATGGAATACAAAAATATCCAGCACCTAACAAGGTAAAATTCCAAATGCCTGGCATCCAATCAAAATTTACCAGGCATGCAAGAGCAAGAAAACACAATCCATAGTAAGAAAAAATCTATCAAAACCAACCCAGAAATGAAACAGATTGAATTGTAGACCTGCACATTCAGCCAGTTATACCTGAATTCTACTAGTATATGTTCAAGAAGCTGGAAAAAGACAGTGTATGAAAGCTATAGATATGGAAGATATTTTTTAAAAGACTGTATTTCTAGAGATAAAACCATGTCTGAAATAAAAAATATGCTGGATGGGATTAACAGCACATTACACATTACAGAAAAAAGATTAATGAACTTGGAGACATAGCAAGATTATCCAACTGAAACAGAGAAGACTGGAAAAGGCGTGAATAGAACATCAGTGAGCATCAAGCAGCCTTGATATACATGTAATTGGATTTCCAAAAGGGAAAAAAGGGACAAAAATAAAGTGTGTGTGTGTGTGTGTGTGTGTGTGTGTGTGTGTGTATAAATAATGGTAAAAATTTTTTCAAATTTGATAAAAACTACAAACCCACACAGATCCAAGAAGCTCAATGAACTATAAGCACAAGAAACAAAGAAAAATAAAGATTCATTTACAAAGGACTCTTACAAATTCTATTAACCAAATGTCATGTAGAAATTACTTAGACAAAGGCTAACTTTTAGTTTAACTTACTGAGTACAGTTTGTGTTGATCTTATTTTAGCAAATTATTTTTAAAAAGATAAAGCATACTTTTTTTCCTTAATTTTCTTTTCTTTTAATTAATATAGGTCATTCAGAACAGAATTAGGACACTGTAAAAACTTTTAAAGAAACTGAGAGGTGGAACTGAAAACAGAAGCAGATTTGAGGTTCTCCCTCAAAAACAACTTGGCAACCACTATTTTGGAACACCATTACTTTCAAAATATACATATATATTTTTAACTGTACTCAAAGTGGAAACAAGCTAACGTGTTTTTAGCATCTTTGCTAACTAGTTAGGACTCCAAAATAAACTAAATATTTTTTTGGAAAAAGAATCATTTAAATAAAAACTATTAAAGTGGAAAACTTAAGTAATGTATTTTCCTATTTTTGTAAACACGCCTATTTTTTTAAGAGGTCAGCATACAAATTCAAATTTTTCTGTCTAAAAACAAGCCAAAAAGAAACAGGAGAACAAGTTCTAAGTATCTACTGTAATGGCTACCCTTCCTGTCATGTGTGTTCTCTAAAATAGAAGTCAATTTAATTAGTCTACCATTTTGCTTAGGAAATAGTGGGATATTTCAAAGACAAAAAATAGTTCCATAGGAGAGCCGCCAAAAGTATATTTACTAAACCTGAAAATAAGTAATGTCCACATGCTTTTTACCTTTCCTAAGAAAAATAAAATATATATATACACACATTTAGATAACATACATATTTCTTTGGGTGACTATACAAATAAAACACTTTTGGAAAACATATACTACTATGATATTTCCTGTAGGATCAACACGTACATTAAAAACAGCACACAAACTCTTTGAACACACAGACTGAGAAGTTACCACTGGAACAATTATTTATGGATGTGATTTGTACCCTCTTTTAAATAGAAAAATCTAAAAAAAAAAATTTCCAATAAAATACAGAATTGATACCTTAGGTTATTAGACTATTAATCGTAGACTTATTCTCTAGTAACATTTATTAATAATGCATGAGATTCTCACATAAAAGATTAGAATATTTTTAAATTAAAAGTTCCAAACTACTCTTGTAATCAGATTCTATTAAGAGAAATAAGGCTAAATATTCATTATTTTGAGCACAGTTGTAAAATTCAGTTTCATAACCTCCACTAATGTACACACAATACATGTATGCCACAATGATAAAACTGAAGTTTTTATTTCACAGATCCAGCTACCAACATGATTTCAATATTCAATTCCCATCTCAAAAACTTTGCTACTTAATACAAACACAATATCATAAACATAAAAGACAAAGAAAGATATGCCTACCACATCATTACCTAGCTGTCATCAAGATTTCAGTTACCTGAATTTCAAAAGTAGCTCTATCACCTTAAAGTGATCCCCCAAATATTAATCTAATAATTCACACAATAAATCATCTACTCAGATTTAGTAGCATTTAAATTATTTGCTATTTATTAAATTATTGGTGAGCAACAGTTCCTCACCAATCAGAACTATTGTTTGAAATTCTCTCTTCTGAAATCTGTTACTACTTCACTAGTTTTAAATTCTGAGACATTTATTTTTAAACACAAAGGTTAATAAGAAACACTTCTGCATCAATTGCACATAACTTCACAGTAAAGGCCCCCCCCCCCCCCTCCCATAGGAAACTATTATTCTTTCTCTTATTTTACCAAATTACCAGAGGGGCACAATGTGGTTTGAATTTCAGCACTGAAGACAATCAAGTGACAATACATGGTTTACGGAATGAAAAATTAAAGTTTCATCATTTTAATCTCTGGGTTGTGATAAATAGGCTGGGCATGTAAGATCATCACCTCTTTCAAGGTCCAATTGTTAAGATGCCTGATTTTTTTTTTCCTCGCCAAAGAATCAAATTAGGAGCTTAAAACATAACATCTCTAAAGTTCACAGCATGTAATTTTTCAAAGAAAAACAAGTTACCGAGAAAAGAAAAAAAAAAAAAAAGAAGAACACTTACATGTGGAGCATGACCTGGTTCAAGAACACCCCATCTACCAAAGCCACATATTCATCCAGGTTGGTCCCATTTCCTGCAGCCAGAGGTCCAAACGTTTTCACCTACAACAGAAGGATCATCACGACACGAATGCCCACCTCCATCTCTGCGGCCACAGAGAATGCAGCAAAATGTACAATGAAGAACACCCACTTACCCAAGTGACCAGAGGGCTGGTCATGAACTGCTCCAGAAGGGGAGTAAAAATTTCGTTCTCCATTTTACAGCTCATGTATTTGAGAAGAAAAAAAAAAAAAAAAAGGAACCACCACAGAAATACGCCTAGGGGAATCGGTCACTAAACGCTGAAGTAGAAATCAATGAAAGTCTATGCTGGCACGGGAAGAAAATCCCATCGTGGAGGGGAGAGAAACGCTCTCCCACCTCAAAAAACACCCCAGCGGGAAACGAGCCGAAATCCCGAGCAGCGGCTTCGACAGCAGCAGCCACGAGCCGCAGGCTGCGCTGCAAATGTCTGTACCGGGCGAGGAGGGGCAGGGAAACGGCATCGGGAGGAGGAGGAGGAAGGGAAAGGGGGCTGGAGCAGCCAGACAAAAAGCCCGTCCAGGCTGCCCGGCTCCCGCAGGAGCCCGATCCGCGAAGCTGCCTCCAATGAATTAACCGCAACGCGGGCTAAACGGACCACCACGTCGGATGTCACGGGGAGGGTGCCGGGCGGGCTCGCCCTCCGCGCGCCGCTCCACACCTTCCACCCACCAGCGCGCACGGAGCT